GACCTTGCTTTAACTAATGACATCTGCAAAGACTCTGTCTCCCAATAAGGTCACATTCCCAGGTACCAGGGTTTAGGATGTGGATGTCTACTTTAGAGGGACACAATTCAGCCCACAATAGACCCTCTACCAGGCAGGTCCACCGGCCCTCACTCAGGCCCCCAGCTCCCTGAGAGGTGCAGTGACGTACCCTGCCTTACACTCAAGCACATGGGGGCACCTGGGTCACATGGGGCAAGGGGCTTAGCCAGGTGTGGCTTTAGTGTTGGACACAGAACCGTGGGTTTTGTGGATGAGCACTGTGGGCCCATGGTGTCCCTGAGTAGCCTCGTCTCATCCCAGATGCCACGTAGTCCTTCCCTGTGAGAATCATTCTGACCCCTCCACCGCCTGCCAGGGAGGCACTCCTAGCCCCTTGTTGCAGATGAGAAAACTGAGGTCAAGAGATTACAGATCTGTCTGTGGTTCCTTGGTTGGAGAGCAGCAGTCCAGGGGTTTGGAGGGGATAGGGAGGGCACAGACACAGGCTGTCAGCCTCATACCAGTGGTGTCCCTCAAACATGTAACTCCAAGTCCCAACTCATGAAACATGTGACTGTGACCTTTAGAAAAAGGGTCTCTGGAGGTATGACTCAAAGATCTTGAGATGAGGTCATCCTGGAGTAGTGGGCCCTGAATCCAGGGACCGGTGTCCTTTTAAGGAAGCCAGGTGAGGATGGAGGCAGAGACTGGAGTCATGTAGCCATAAGCCAAGAAACACCAGGATTACCAGCAGCTACCAGTGTTTAAATTGAGGTGAAATTCACGTAATGTAAAATTCACCATTTTAAGTGAGTCATTTCAGTGGCATTTAGTGCATTCATTCACAGTGTTGGGTAACTATCATGTCTGTCTAGTTCCAGAACGTTTTTCTCACCCCAAAGGGAAACCCCATCCCCATTAACAGTCACTCCCCACACCCCTCTTGTAGCACCTGGTAACTTCTAATCTGCTTTCTGTCTTTATGGATTTGCCTGTTCTGGACATTTCATAGAAATTGATCGTATACTTTGTGGCCTTTTGTTTCTGGCTTCTTTCACTCAGCCTGATGTTTTCCAGGTTCATCCATGTCATAGTGTGTGTCAGTGCTGCATTCCCTTTTATGACTGAGTAATATTCCATCGTATGGCCAGATCACATTTGATTTATCCCTTCATCTGTTTTGTTGTTTCCACCTTCTGGCAGTTGTGAGCAGTCCATCTGTGGTTTGTAGATGTATTTACATCTGACCTTCCGTCTCCCCACTTCCAGCTCTGTCTGCCCAGCGTTCCTGCCCCTGGAGCAGTGCTCAGGAGTGAGGGACAGATGAGAGGGTCCCTGGGAAGTCGAGGTCGGCAGGTGCAGAGCTGGATCTGGCCGTGGGGCTGTTCAACCTCTGGGGACATGTGGCACCACCACCCTGCGGTTTAAAGTGTCAGAAGTTCATGGCTGTGGTGGGTTCAGGGCAGTGTTCCCAGCCGTGGGCTTGGTGCCTGCTAGACAGAGGACCTCCTGGGGAGCTCTGGAAGGCCAGGGGCCTGTGCTCATCTGTTTGGTGTTTCTTGCCTTAGGGCCCTTTGTCTGGGGGCAGGGGGTACCTAGGAGAGCTGTGTGCCCTGTATGGTCAGAGTGGCCTGTGAACCAGAATGGTGCGGGGCCCTGATGGATTGAAAAGGTCCCCACCTTCACCTCTGACCCCTCAGAGACCCTGGTGCACTCAGAGCCCCGAGAAGGCAGGATGTGAGTTAGTGCATCAAGGGTGATGGCATCCAGCGCCACTCGGAGGGAAGCATGGCAGGCACGTGAGTGCCCTGGCGGCATCCTCAGGGCCCTATTGTCCACTTAGCAGATTGAGAGGCCAAGATGACAGAGCAGTGACAGCTGTTAGGTCTTGGATTGGGGTGGGACTATGTGGCGTGTTGTTCTTTGTGCTTGCTGGAGTTCACTGTCATTTTCAAATTAAAAGAAAGAGAAGTAAGAGGATACCATCTGTGTGTGGGGCAGGGGGTCGGGGCCCCCCACCCAGCCTCAGCTTACCCTGGGAAGGGGAGATGGCTGCCCCTGTCATGGCTTGGGCCATCTGTGGGTATAAGTGTCATGAGGCTGCTGTGACAGGTACCACAGACTGGGGATTAACATCAGAAGTTTATTCATTCGCAGTTCTGGAGGCCAGAAGTCTGAAATCAAGGTATGGGCAGAGTCATGGCTCCCTCTGAAGGTCGGGAGGGGGAGCCTTCCTTGCTTCTTCCAGCTTCTGGTGGCTCCCACATTCCTTAGTTTGTGACTGCATCACCCTAGTCTCTGCCACATCTCCACATGGCCTTCTCCCTGTGTGTGTCTCCTTTTCTGTCTCTTGTAAGTACACTTGTCATTGGATTTAGGGCCCACCTGAATAATGCAGGAAGATTTCTTCATCCCAAGATACTTACCTTAATTATATCTGTAAAGACCCTTTTTCCAAATAAGGTCAAAGTCATAGGTTTCTGGGGTGAGGATGTGGGCGTAGGTTTTTAGGGACACAAGTGAACCCACTGCTTGTACCTGACCCGCATCAACTGCTTGGGTGGCACCCGGTGGGGTGTGGGAAGGTGCTCTTTTGGCTGTCACCGTCTTCGTTGCCATTGTCAGGAAGGGCTTCTGAACCTTTCACCCACCCAATACCACCTATGTCACCTTAGCACGCCTGCCCTGTCCCACCCACCTCTCATGCCCTTTTAGGGGCCCTGCCCAGAGCTAGGGGTGCATCTCTGCATCCCCTAAGTCCACCAGGGCAGACAGACATCTGTGACCCACTGTCCACATGTGAGATCACACTCCCACAACTCCCCTCCTTGGCCTAAGTAGGGCGGAACCTCCTCTCTGACCTCTGGAGGTGACTTGGAGGAGCCTCCCCTTCCCCAGCTCCATGCAGATGGGGCATCCCTCCCCAGAGCCTCCAGGGAACCCCTCATCCTCACAGAACTCCCATTGCACTGGCCTGTTTTCAGGTTCACATCAGTCTCTGTCCTGTAGAGGATGAACCTGGAGTGTTCGGTCCCAGCCTTGAGCCAGGTGGCCTTGGGCACCCTGGTTATGTGGTCTGCTGTGGCCCTGCCTTTGACCTGGAGAATTTCTCTCCTGTCCTATGGGGCATTTCTGGGGCTGCCGGTCTCCCTGTCCCCTGCCATGCCCCCTGCACACTCCTGCTCCTGTTCCCACTTAGGGATGTCCCTGGAAAGGGGGTGGCCCAGCCTTATCTTGGGTTCACTTGTACCTGTACGGACCAACCAGAGACATTCCAGAAATCCCAACAAAGGGCAGGTTCCCCCGTCCACCTCCAGCGCATCCTCTGCTCTTCTCCGGAGGCGAGGCCCTGGCCTGACCCTGCAGCACAGCTCAGGCTCCCTCCTCTGCTTATTGGTGGTGCAGGAACATCTTTGTGCATAAATCTGCCTTTTGGACGAGCTCCCTCAGGAGAGCTTTCCAGAAGTGGGATTACAGGTCAGAGGGCAGGAACATTGTTCAGGTTCCCAACGGATGCTGCCAAATGGCCCTGCAAATGCTGCCGCCACCTGCCTCTCAGGTCTGGGTCATTTCCTCTGTGGCTGACGTGTGCTGCGACCATGGAGGAAACAGAGGGGATAGCACTGCCTGGGGGCCCAGGGGCTGCTGGAGCCGGCTTGGACTTGGGCTTTGAGGTGTTGCCACCATGGGACGGTTCTTAGTGTGGGACTCGAGGTGACACAGGATTGGGTGACTGGGAAAGGTTGAAGAGAGTCTCCCCAAATTCATGCTTAACCAGAACCTACAAATGGGACCTCATTTGAAAACAGGGTCTCTGCAGATCTCACCAAGTCAGCGTGAGGTCATCTAGGAATAGGGTGGGCCCTAAATCCAGTGACCAGGGTCCTGACAGGAAGAGAAAACAGAGTCACACAGGGAGAGGGCTGTGAAGATGGAGGCAGAGATCAGGGGTAACGTCTACAAGCCCAGAAGCACTGTGGACTGCCGGCAGCCACCAGAAGCCAAGAGAAAGGCCTGGGGCAGATTCTCCCGAGAGAATCCAGGAGGGCCCGATCCTGCACACACCTGGATTTCAGACTTCTGGCCTCCAGAACGGTTAGGGAATAAATTCCTGTGGGTTTTTTAAAAAAATTTTTTATGGAGGTACTGAGGATTTAACCTAGGACCTCGTGCATGCTAAGCATGCATTCTACCACTGATCTATACCCCCCACTTCAAATTCCTATTTTTTAAGCCACCCAGTTTGTGGCAGCCCCAGGACACTTGTATAGTGCCCAAGAAGGGGGTGGACCTAGAGGGCCTCTGGGGTCAGGGTTCCTGCTCCCGCGAAAGCACCGCTCCCGCTGTGCCCTGCCACCCAGCAAGGCTGCTGGGGTCAGGAGTGTGCATTGTCCTGACCACCCCCCCCTTTTTTTTTTGCTAGGCAAGTAACTTTATTAACCTTGTTCCAGACTTTATTCCCAGGCTTGTTCAGCTTAATTAGCTGCACAGAATGAATTGTGGATAGGCAAAACCCGGAAAGAGCTGCAGTGTCCAAGGGGTTTGGACTTAAAAATATCAGAGATCTAGATCTCAGCTCCAGAAATCAAGTAATGCTAGAATGCAGTCATAATATACACGAGCAGCTCCGAGTAACTGCTTCAAGCCTGATCTGTTTCGTAGTTTACTGTATTCTGTTTGCCTCACTCTTGGAAGCCCCACTGGCCTGGAGCTCCCCAGCCCCAGGACCTCCCCCAGAGCCTCCTGCTGGGCTCAGGCCAAGCAGCCCCCGTGGAGGCTGGGAGAGCTTCCAGAGATCAAAGGTGAAGCCAGGTGCCCTGGGCCATTCAGACAGGGCCTCCCCATGTGCTGGGCTAGGCTGCCTGCCTAGGGGATGCTCGGCCTCGCTGCAGGAACCTGGTGCTCAGGCAAATAGGATTGGGCTGGCAGGCCATCTCATGCCCATGGGACATTCGGCCTCCTTTCCCATGGACTCCGAGATGTCGGATCAGGTGGGTGGCGTCTCTGGTCAGTCCTGCTGGTAGCACTGGACTTGGCCTTTGGGCCGCATGTGGACCTGCGAAGCATGGCTCCCCTGCTTCTCACTTGAGGCCCCTCCTGCCTCTCCTGGCCTGCTGCACACAGCCCCCTGTGGTCCAGATGGTGATGTGCTATAGCCCTGCAGTCAGTGGCTACAGGGGGCTGGGGGCAGTCACACTGTTAAGGCCTCTGCTCCCTGGCTCCTGCCCCAGCCTCCTGGGATGTGGTGCCCAGATGCAGGCCAGAGGGAGGTGTGCAGTCAGGACCGAGCTCTGTGCCCAAGAGACCCTGCATCCCCTTTGCTCCACCCAGTGCAGCCCCAGGACCTTGGGGTGGGGTTGGCCTGGGGTCATGGAGGCATGCCTTCAGGACCTTTCTGGGTGGCATGTCTTAGGCGCGAGCCCTTCTGTGGCCCCCAGTGTGCTGAGACCCTCTACCTGATGAGTCCCCTGTGGTATCACCAGCCCCTGGGTCTCCAGCTGGACATTCACTGCCCCCTGTGCTGTCCTAGTCTGGGCACCAGTGTTGCCCTCCCGCCTACTCTACAGTGACTGCCCATCAGCTGGCCTGGACTTGTCCTTCCTCTCTTCTTGGGCCTGCACTTCTGCCCCTGCTGTTCCCTCTCCCTGGACCCTTACTCCCTCATTCTTCACACTGGCCTATCGACTGGAGGATTCTCATCATTGACCTTCCCCAACCACACAATCTCAGGGTCCCCAAGCTTGACTCTAAGTGGCCCTGCCTTCTTTCTGAGTCCCCATGGAGTCTGCTCGTCAGCAGTTAATTTCCTGGGGCTGCTGTAGCCAAATACCTTAAACTGGGAGGCTGAAGACAACAGAAATTTATCCCCTCATAGTTCTGGAGACTAGAAGTCTGAGATCAAGGTGTGGGCAGAGTTGGATCCTTCCGGGAGGCTCCGAGGGGGAATCCATCCCAGGCTTCTCTCCAGGCTCTGGTGGCTACTTTTAACCCTTGAGTTTCCTTGGTTGGAGCTGCATCACTCCAGTCACTGCCTCCACCTCCATGTGGCCTCCTCTCTGTCTGTCTCTGTGTTGTCTTCTTACAAGGATGCCAGTCATTGGATTTAGGGATCTCCCTAAAGCCAGGATGACCTCACCTCAAGAGCTTTAACTAATCACAACTGCGAAAACTGTTTTCAAACAAGACCACATTCTGAGGTTCCGGGTGGGTATGTACTTTGGGGGACACTCTCCGGGTGGGAATCAGGAACAGAGCTGATTCACCCTGGGCTATTTCTGCTCTGTCGTGCTGCCTTGCAAGTACTCCCACCCGGCCCCCAGCTCGTGACCCTGGTGAACAGGCACATTGCTTTATATTTGGGCAGCTGATTTTCTGGAAACGCCAACCATGATTTTCCCCCTATCATGTCTCTGCTGCCAGTAGCCCTGGGGCAGCGCGCACTGCTGGTCAGCCCTGCCTCACTGACTCTGGGTCAGGCCCAGAGAAGGCCCCTCCTCACAGGCCACCCCACCCTGTACCCTGAGGGCTCCTGCCAGGAGAATCCTGGGGTCCCTGGGCTTTGCCTAGGCCTGGCTAGCTGTGGGTTAGGGTAGGCTAACCTGGAGGGCTCAGACTGTGGGACCAGTTTTGGGCTTCCTGATTCCAGATACAACTGTCGATGGTCACTTCCTCAGGATGGGAGCTGGTCCCTGAGGCGCCCACAGTGTCCGGGCAAGTAGGGCCCCAGCTGTCAGGGCATGCTGGCCCCCACTAGACAGACACAGGCTGGCTACTTCAACGTGAGAGGGTGCTGCAGACTGAATTGTGTCCCCTGGATTCCTGTGTGGAGGCCCTAACCTCCAGTGTGACCGTATGTGGAGATGGGGCCTGTGAGAGGTGACTAAGATGAAATGAGGTTGTAAGGGTGGGTTCCTGATCCGATAGGACTGGTGTCCTTACAAGAGGAAAAGAGAGAGACATTTCTCATTTTGCCCACCCCGAGGAAAGGCCATGTGAGGACATTGGGTAAGGCAGCCTTCTGTAGACCAGCAAGAGGGCTCTCACCAGAGACAGCGCCGACACCCTGATCTCGACTCCGGCACCCTGACCTCGACTCCAGCCTCCTGAACTGTGAGAAATACTCGCCTGCTGTTTAAGCCACCCAGTCTGTGGTATTTCATTACGATGGCCCGAGCTAACTCAGAGGGTTATTTTTGAAGTAAGGGGTCAGGGAAGGCTTCTCAAGGATGTGATGTTTGGGCTGAAACCCAAAGGATGAGAAGGAGCACCGTGGAAGGTTCCAGAAAAGAAGTGGGTGCAAGGACCCCGGGGCAGAAGGCAGGGGAGGGTCTCGTGGGCCGCCGGTGAGTTGGGGTCTGCTAGGGAAAAAGTCTGGATTGTAACCGAGGCCCTTTCCCATTTCCAGGTGACCTCAGGGCAAGCCTATCATCCCCTAGGGCCTCAGTTTCCCCACTTGTAAAACAGAGATGAACCCGTGTCTCCCCCTCCCAGGGCGGCTTCAAGGCCCCACCTAGAGTGGGCGCCCGGCTGGCGGCCAGGCCCGGAGTCTCATTCTCGGGGAGAGAGGCCCCACGAGCCAGCTGTGCTTCACTCAGACCCCAAGGGACCCTTCCTACATCCCAGCCGGAACGGCTGTGCTCAGCAGCCGCCACCAACAGGGGAAACAAAACGTGCTCACAGTGGACCTTCTGATTCAGCCGGGGTTGGGGATTTGGCAGCAGCCACAGAGCCTGATTAAAGGCATTCCGAGGCATGCTCGGTGTTTGTGTATCTGGTTCTGTATTTACACTTTGGGAACGAGTGAGGAGGCAGCTGGGGAGTGTCTTAGTCGGCCAGGGGGCCGGGGGCTGGGGTGACTAAGCCTGAAATCTGCGCTCGGCCACATGCCTGTGACGCTTTCATTCATTCCCAAATTCATTCATTATTCCTTCCTGTGCTCGGCAGATGTGTAATGAGAAACTCCAGTGTACCAGGCACGCTTTGGTGGGGGCAGCCTGCCTCTCCTCATAGTGGGGCCCTCAGTCAGCATGGGGGCCAGTGGTGAGATGCAACTGGGCAGCAACAGAGTTGATAACAGTTAATTAAAAACATACCAAAGACCTGAATGTTAGAGCTCAATCTAAAAAATTCCTAGAAGGAAGCATAGGTGTAAATCTTCGCAGCCTTGGATTAGGTGATGGATTTTTAGCTATGACACTAAACGCACACGCAAAGAAAAATAGATTAATTGCACCCTGTCAACATTAGAAACTTCTGTGTATCAAAAGACTGTCAAGAACATGAAAAGACCATAGAAAATATTTGCAAACCACAAAGCTGATAAGGGATTAATAGGATCCAGAGTATCTAAAGAACTCTTACAACTCAACACGAAAAAGACATGCAGCCCAATTTTTCAAAAAGGCAGAGGACTTGAATAGACATCTCTCCACAGAAGACAGGCAGAAGGCCAATAAGCACATGAGAACTTGCTCAACATCTCTAGTCACCAGTGGAATGCAGATCGGAACCGCAGTAAGAAACCACCTCGCCCCCGTCAGGATGGTTACTATCAAAAAACAACAGACGCTAACAAGTGTTGATGAGGATGTGGAGAAATTGAAACCCTCATGCACTGCTGGTCGGAATGTAAAATGGAGTGGTCGCTGTGGAAAACAGTCTGGCAGCTCCTCAATAAGATAAATATGGAATTACCATATGATCCAGCAGTTCCGTTTGTAGGTATGTACCTGAGAGATTTGAAAACAGGGACTCACGCATTTACTTGTCCACGTATGTGCATAGCAGCACCAGTCACCATCACCAAAAGGTGGGAATTGACATGTCCATCAATAGATGAATGGGTAAACAAAATATGGTCCATCCATACAATGGAAGATTACTCAGCGATAAAAAGGAACCAAGCCCTGACACATGCTACGATGTGGATGAACTCTAAAAACATCAGGTTGAGTGAAAGAAGCCAGACACAAAGGGCCACTTATTATATGATTCCATTTATATGAAATGTCCAGAACAGGCAAATCCATAGAGACAAAAAGCAGGTTTGTGGCCGCAGGAGCTGTGAGGGTAATGGGGAGGGACTGCTAGTGAGCACTGGGTCCTTTGGGGTGATGGTTGCTAGCTCCTAGAAAGTGAGGCCTGGGAGGGGTTGGCGGGTGAGGGACTTGCAGATCTTTTCAGGAGCTCTCCAGGGCTCCCTCTATGGGCTTCTGCAGCTGCCTGGACACTTAGAGAACCTGACGAAGCCCTAGCCCCTCCCTCCTAGGGGACAACCCCCAAAGGTGGCCCATTCAAGGGCCCCATTGCCATTGGCAGCCTCCTGAGGACTCCACCTAGGTGAGCCCTGAGGAGCAGGACTTTGGGCCAGGTTGTACGAATCCCTTGGGGTCCTGGTCAGCACTCAGGTCCCAAAAGGATCATGTACTCAAGATGAGATTTGCTCTCCACCTCCGTCTCGTGGGTGATTCTTTGCCTGTGCACTTGGGGAGCTGTCTCTTCTTCCTTGGGCCTCAGCTTCCCCAAAGGTAGGAGTGGGCAGTTCCATGTGGGCACAGGAGAAACATGGTTCTTGCCTGGGATTCTGAGTGCACCGAGCAGTTGTTCCTGTGTTCACATGTTCCTCTGTTGTCTGGTCGCTCAGTTCCTACGTGGGTGCCAAGCTTCTCCATTGTGCCAGGGTCCTTGTGGGGCAGACAGTCTGATGGGAGGAGATAGACCTCGGTCAGGTGGTTTTGGATAGTGAGCTATGGAGGAGGTAATCCTGTGGGGGTGAGGAGGTGCAGTGTTGGGCTGGCCCAGTGGGAAGATTCTGCCTTCTGGAGGAGGGAGTGCCAGTGCAAAGGCCCTGAGGCAGCTACCTCAGCTGGTGGAGTGCAGTGCCTGGGGGAGAGCAGAGGGCCAGACAATGCAGACCTTCATGGTGAGAGCAGGAAACAGTTCTGCTCAGAGTACCTGGCTCCTCTCTGGCCCTCTGTAGTGTGGCCCCCATGCCTGCTCTGGCTTTGCAGGACAGAGCTCAGCCTTCAGCTCGTCCCCTCCCCTTAATCTCATTAGAAGGCTGGCCAGTTGCCATGATGATTGCTGATGGGCCTGACTAAGGCCAGCTCCTAGAGAGCGAGGCCTGGGAGGGGTTGGCAGGTGGGGGTGGATTGCTGCATCTTGTGGAGGGTCCTAGAGGACTGTGGGCTGCCCTGGAGAAGTGGCTGCATCTGCCGTGCTACGCCTTTCCAGGGCCACTCCCTGACCTTGTGGCCTTCACTCCTCCCAACCCCTTGGATGCTGTCTGGATAGGGGGATGTGCTCAACAGGAACGTGGGCACGGACAGAGGCTGGGAAGGCATGCTGTACTGGGTAACCCCATCTCTGTGGGGTCCTGCCAGCAAGGGGGTTGGGGGAGGTTGAAGAAGCCACCCATTTACACAGGGTTCTGTCGGGGAAATGGATGTGGGGTGGGGACAGGGAAAAAGGACTTTGTGCAGGGGTGTATGGTCCTGGAACAGGCTGTGTCAGGTTTTTGCGGGGGGGGAGACCCTGCCTGGAAATGAGGGGCCCAGGGCTACTTCAGGGCCTGAAGTGGCCTTTTACAGTGAGACTTGTGCTGGGCCCCTTCTTGGCAGAGCTGACGTGGTTGGGTTGATGCTGTGACTGTGAACTCCCAGAGGAGTGCTCTCATCTACCATGTGATGTGGCCTTTCTGACACTCTGCGGTCCCAGCCACCTGCTGGTCCACGGGGTTATGCAGGAGTCAAGTTCCAGAAGTGGACTCCATGTCCTACTTGGCCACTTCTGAGCTGTGTGGCCCTGGGCAATTCCCTTGCCTGCTGGGCCTCAGTTTTCCCATCTAGAAAGTGGAGTGCACTGGTCACCCCTCAAAGGGCCTGTCTTGGAGCAAATTGTGTCCCCTCAAAAATATGTTTTGGAATCTGGGGCTGTGACCTTACTTTGCAGCTGTAATTAAGGATCTCAGGTTGAGATGATTCTGGATTAGGATGGGCTGTGACTCCAGGGGCAGGTATTATTAGAGAAAAGAGAGGGAGAGTGCAGACACAGACACAGAAGGGAAGGCCGTGTGGAGATGGAAGCAGAGATGGAACAATGTAGCCTTAAGCCGAGGGGCTCCTGGAGCCCCCTGAAGCTGGGAGAGGCCTGGGCCAGAATCTCCCTCAGAGCCTCCAGAAGAAACCACCCCTGCCCGTGCCTTGATCTTGGACTTCTACCTCTTGAACTATGAGAGAGTAAATTCCTTTGTTTTAAGCCACCCAGTTGTGGTAATTTGTTACAATAGCATCAGGACACTTAGGACAGGGCAGTTGTGCTGCTTAAATGTTAAACGTGCTGAGACTTGGGAAGAGCTCTGTGCCCCATGGCAGGGCCTCCGGTGCCATCGGTAATGCTTGAGGTTGGGGGACACTGAGCACAGGGTGGCTAAGGTCTCCGCTGTGCTTCCTAGTCCTACGTTGTGGCCCCGTCAGCCTCAACTCTGAAACACCTGTGACCCCTAGGGTGTGGTGCCACTTGGTTGGTTGGTTCACACCCCAGAGCAAGAGGGTTTGAGAGGCATGAACTGCACTGTTACTGGAAGGGTCTGGGGCTGCAGGATGCCGATGGGAGGTGAGGTCAGACATGCAGCAGCACTTACTAGGGGCCCAGCGTGGCCACATGGTGGGCTGGCACCAGACACATTGTGACCAGCAGACCGTGAGTCTTGGGTGCCTGCCACCTGCTGGGGGACAGGATGGGGACAGTGGACAAGATCATGAGCCACACACTTCTGATGGGACGAACGGGATTAGACAAACCCAAAGCGGCATATGCAGAGGGTCTGGGTCAGTCAGAGGTACTCTACTACTGTCGTTCTCTTAATTTTGACCCAATAGAGGAAGAGGGCTGCTTTTGAGGAGCTCTCTGTACCATCTTTACAGGGTTCTTTTTGTGTGTGTGTACATCTAAGACTCACAATAAAAACTTTTATTAAAAAAAAAAGCCAGAGGCCAATGTGATGGTGACTTGGGGGCTGCTCCTTGGGTGGGGTATCAGGGAGGCACTCTGGAATGGGTGTGGAGGGGGAGCTGTCACAGGCTGAGAGCCTGGGGGGCACAGACTCAGGGTGCTTTGGGGTCAGGTGGCAGGAGGGAATGGAGATCAGGTAGAATAGAGGGCAGGGAGGCCATGGTGAAAGCATGGGTCACAGAGCACCTGCATGCCCTTAGAATCTGGAGTGGGGTTCACTTGCACAGTCGGGGAGCCTGGGGTTGGACCCCAGGCTGGCTGATCTACAGGCCATAAGTAAGAAGGAGCCCTGGGAGTTGTAGCTCCTCTGTGCCAGCGGGTAGCCTCAGCCAGGCTTCACTTTCCTGTCCGCGCCCCGCTCTGCCAAAAACCATGAGGACGGGGCAAGGGGGCGGGAAGGCTCAAGCCTCCATAAGGCGTTGGGAATTGGGTCTGTGTCCTGAAAGGTTCTTGTATGGCCTCCAAATGGGACTGTCAACCTGGCTCATGAAAGTCGGCTATTGACAGTGAGTAGTGTTCATTCACTTAACCATTCATTCACTCATTCATTCATTCACTCGTGTGTTCATACGCTCCTTTGTTCCACCACCAGGTGCTGCTGAGCATTAGGCCTTGGCTCACATGCCAGGTTTATGGAGCTCTGTTGGCGAGGTTGGCTGCAGGGTGGGGTAGGAAGTACCATGGAGGGGGCACAGAATGAGGATTGCTGGGTGGAGGGGTGCATGAGTGTGTAGCTTGGCAGTGGGCAGAGGCATGAGCTTTGGCTTCTGGCAGCTTGTCAGACCCTGCCTGGTGGCGTCACTCTGCTGTCCCTGTGGACCTTCTGAGGCAGCAGGTCCATGGGTAGAGCCCAGGCTGGCCCCCTTTTCACCCCAGGACCCCACTCTTAGGGTTTTCCAGCCAGGCCTGGGATGGCAGTCAGCCCCTGCAAAGTTAGGAGGTTCCCTAAGACCACCATCATATCTGACACCAGCTGCAGAATATGAGGGTTCCCGAGACTACACTCAGCTTGACAGTTCACTAGGACTCAGAAAACCATTATACTCACAGTTATGGTCTGTTAGAGTAGAAGGATGCAGTCAGCATAAGGCGGCGTCCAGGAGAGTTCCCAGCACACAGCTGCCTATTGTCCCTTCCCTTTGGAGTCACATGGACAGTGCTTGCTTCTCCCAGCACCAGTGTGTGATGACACACATGGGATAATGTCCAGGGATGCTCCCCAAGCCTTGGTGTCCAGGGTTTTCACTGGGGTTCACCATGCAGACAGACACTGCTGACTGCCATCTCTAGCCCCTGCAGAGAGTGAGCTGATATCGCATTGGCTGGAGACCTCCACCTCAAATCACGGCTGTTGGCATAGATACCCAGTGTGGCCTGAGGCCCTAGGCAAACAAAGACACTCTTATCAGGCAATACTTTTCTAAGGGCTTTCATCGCCCAGGAGCTGGGGGCAAAGGTCAGACCGCCTTGGACCAGGTTAACTCTTTCCTTTGCAGCCTCATGTACAACCAAGTATGAGCACAGGGTCCCCCAAAGAAGAGCGAGGCCCCACACTGTGTCCACTCCAGAGGCCACACCACAAAGCCTGACAGAGGTGGGGCTTGGGAGGGCCAATGCTACAGCAGCACTTGAGCCATGAGCATCCTGTAAGTCCCCAGTCTGGCCTCTCTCTAGCCCGGAATGTGGCAGCTTTGCGGAGTACTTTCCTGGATGCCGAAGTTTCCAGAGCTGGCAGTTCAGCCTGTGACAAAAGCATTTGTGGTGTGAACACTTCCTGTATCACACACCTGGCATTTGCACACACACTTGCCTGGACCACTCACTTTAGGGAGGGGGAAACTGAGGCCCAGAAAGGGCTGGAGCCCTCCAGGGCCACATGGTTCTTGAGAGGTGGATGCAATGCGGGTTCCTGCCACATGGCTCAGACACAAGAAGGGATGAGGGCTGGTCTCGGGTCCCAGGCAACCTATGTCCAGGCCAGGGCGCCCCATCCTGCTTGGCCTCCCCCTCCCTCCTGACTGGGGGCTGGCCTGTTTCATCTCAAGTGACTGCAGGGCGGGACATGGTGGGGTGTTCACAGTGAGGTCCCCAGCCATTAGAGACAGACCCTGGGTGGGGCCCTGAGGATGCGTGAGAACCACCCCGAGAAGGAACGGAGCAAGGTCAATCTCTCTCCCGGCTCCCTCGCAGTTTGCAGGAAACAGCTGTTTACCTGGGTGAGGTGCTCCACCGGGCGAGCGGCCAGTTCCTGAACTTTACTTCCCCCTCCGGTGTCCAGGGCCCCCCAGGAAGCGGGGGCTGGCGTGGGATAGCAGGGCGGCGTGGGCGGCCAGCAAACGGAGCACTGCCAGGAGCTGTTTGTGAGGGAACGTGAGCCGGTCTTGTTGTGTACACAGTGTCGACCCTAGCAACCGCCCCAGCCGGCTGGAGCGGACGCCCACCCCTCCCCAGATGCCTGGCCCCTGCCCCTCCATCAGGGCACCCACCTACCATGGCAGTTTAACAGGCATTGTGGATCTTTGGCCCCGAGTGCCACAGGTAGTATCAACCAGCTCAGGAGCATCTGCCATTCCCAGCAAGGTGGAATTGCTGCTGGAGGGAGAAGAGACCAGGTCCCAGCCCTGCTCTGAGGCAGCCAGGGCTGGTCAGGGAGCCCCAGGCTCTTGGTTCTGAGGCCTGGCCCAGTGGGACAAATTCCCATGCAAGTGAAGGGTGGAGGACTGTGCGGGGATGCGACCAGCCCAGATGAAGGCTCTCCAGTGGGTGAGGCTGACAGGATAGGCAGAAGGAGCCTTGGGGCTTGGGCAGGACCCCTTAAAACTCAGGAGGGGTCTGGCAGACCCAATCGTCCTGTGTGTGCTGCCGAAGGGATTGTACATGCTGGACTTTGAAAGCTAGCTCTGCACTTCTAAGCCGGCCTCTCCGATTCAGGCCATTGGAAGGACAATTTCCTTGTGTCCGGGAGTAAATTCGCAGCCTCTGGCCCGCGCCCCAGGAACGCAGCCTTTGGTGATAAGAAATGGCTCCCCTGGGGTGGGTGAGGGGCCTCCTGCATAGGCTCCAGGTCCACCTGATACTCTTGCTTATTCACAGACCGTCTGAGTCAGCGAGCAAGCCTCCCTCAAGTTCGTGGTGGCAGTGCACCCAGGACACATTTCCCTGCCTGGGGAGGGCCGCCTGGGGCTTCTTGGGTTTCTGATTCTTCTGGTTTTGGTGGAGAGACTCGTGGCTCCTTTGGGAATCTGAGTCACAAGGGTCCCATACCCTCTGTGACTGGTGCCACTGACCCCACTGCTTGGGGCCCTCAGGAATGGCGCTCTTCAGGGTGTGCTCATGAGGGGCTTCCCGCCTCACCGCCCCCAGCCACCCCTGCCTCCGCTATAGCTGCTGGCTTCTCTCTTGCAGCTCCAGCTCCAAAAGTCCCAGTACCTGCAGCTGGGCCCAAGCCGTGGCCAGTACTACGGCGGGTCCCTGCCCAACGTGAACCAGATTGGGAGCGGCACTGTGGATCTGCCCTTCCAGGTGAGCCCCCATCCCTCCCCTACACCACCTCCCACCTGGGACGTGTTGCAGTCTGGGCCCCGCCCTGGCCACAGAGCAAGTGAGCACGCATGACAGCCTGTGAACAGCTGGGGTCACCAGATGATTGCTGCCGCCCGACCCACCCCCGCCTACTCCCTTCCTCCCCCTGGGCCAGGCTTCTCCCGGATCCCCCCTGCCCATCCTCTGTCAGCAGACCCCACAGTGAGGCCATGGTCTGGCCCTGAGTGTTTCGGCAGCCGCTACACCTGTTGGCCGGGTGTGCAGCAGCGGGAACCGCTCAGGGCCTCTGGGGCTTGGCTCCATCCCGCTTCACTAATCCGCAAGCCCAGCAATTCTCAGAAGGAGGCCCCGTGGCCTGACCCCACTTGTCTGCAAACGTTTCTTGGCAGAGACCCACACGGCGCGGCTCCCGCAGGCCATGTAGCTGCCGTGCACGTCCTTATCGTAAATAAGGAGAGATAAGGGCCACTGCCTGCCCGGAGCTGGGCTAGCCTCTTCCCCAAGGCCACATCCCCAGCCGCTGGTCTGCAGTGGGGTCAAGGTGGGCCCAGGAGCTGGGCCAAGAGGTAGGGCCACCCTCAGCACAATGTCTAGGCTATGCAGGGACAGGTTCATCAGGTAGCCACACACCTATCCTGTTGCTGGGACAAAGCCTCAGAAACAGCCTCGTGCATTAGTGTGTTGACAGGCCAGGTGGTACTGGGTCAGTCCTTCAGGGAGCTCAGCCCCTACCCACCCACCCGAGTCACTCCCCAGCTCCTACTCCTCCCACACTGCTGCTGGGATGCAGCAGGGCACCAACCCAGGGTCCCTCAGGCTGCCTCGGGGTCCAGCCGGCTCAGCTCTATCTCCTGGGCCCATGGAGCATAGCCCTCCTCAGATGGCCTCCTCATCAGAGCAGATGAGTGGGGCTGTCCTGCTGATCCTGGTGTGCATCAAAGCCTGACCTCTTTGTCAGTGCCCTTTCTAGTTTGGGTTTTCTCCCCTCCTCCCTGGCTCTCCCCTTCCCCCTCTAGGAGAGTGTCTCTCTGGGCACCCCCTAGCTTGGCCCTGCCTGGGACCAGTATGGAGCTGAGGGTGCACGGGGCCCTGTTGGGCTTCCCACTGGGGGGCCAGGAGAGGCAGGAGTGTCTCAAAGTCTCGGTTCTTTGCATTTTCAGCCCAGCGGATTTCTGGGGGAGGCTCTGACAGCGGCTCCTGTCTCTCTGGTAAATGAGCCCCTGGGCTGAGGCCTCGGCATCCCTGGCACGTGCGCGGGCGCTGGGTATCCCTGAGCGGCCGCCCCCGTGGCCCAGCAGGAGGTGTCCTGTCTGCCAAATGGAAACAGATCCGCTCTGCACCCCCGTCTGGGGAAGTGCGTGTGGGCGCGTCGAGAGACCCCTGCCTGGGGGATCTGAGCATGCGCACCAACGCTGCATGGTTCGTTCCTGTGACATACGCACACGTGTGTGTGTGGATCCGGCCTGGTGAACCAGGCTGTGGCTGGGCCTGAGCTTCTCTCTGCCTCTGGCTCTGCTTCAGCCGCCTCGATTTCCCCTCTTGGCTTCCAGGCATCTCTGGGAGGAGAGGAATGGCCCCTGTCCTTTGATGTCTTTGCCTGGGTGGCAAGGTTCCTACACTCCCTTGGTCACTGCCATTTCCTGGGCCCACAGCCTTTTGGAGACAAAAGCGCAGAAAGACCCAAATTGGTAGAGTCTTTGCTGGGTTAGGGAGAGACAGGGGTCCCTGAATGCCAGGGAGAGCAGGCAGCCCTGAATGCTAGCCAGGTTGTTTGGAGGGTGGGGAAGAGCAGTGAGCCAGCCAGTGGCAGTCTTCCAGAGGAAATTGCTTTTTGCCTGGCTTCCCAGAGAAGACAGAAGGGCCCAAGGGCCAGATGGCCTGGCAGGGGGACGGGCTGCATCCAGAGCTAGCTAACACTGCCAGTCTCACCCCAGTCAGATGGTGAGGGGCCCTTGGCGCCAGGACATGTAGAGAGCAGGTTCCTGGGGGCCCCAGGAGCATGGAGCCAGGAGTGGGAGCAGAGCCTGGCCAGGGGCCTCATGCCAGCCCCAGGTGCTGGAAGGGAGCCCTGTCCGGCCAAGCCGTAGGCCAGGGCTCCGGAAAGTGCCTGCACTTGGCTCCCGGTTGTGCTGGGACAAGGCTGTGGGGGAGGGCGCGTGGAGGCCAAGTCTCAACCAAGACCAGCCCCAGGCTCAACAAGGAGCCTCCAGGGAGCCAGCACTTGGCCAGGTGGGCCCCTCGACGTCCTGGGCTGGAAGCCCCGGGGCTGTCTCTTGGCAGGCCCCTCCAGGGATGACGTAGGTGGGGAGAGGAGGCCGGCCAGGCCTGGAGAGAGAGGGCGGAGGCCTGTCTGCACCTGGCGAGGCTGGGGGTGGGGGAGGGCGGTGCTCAGTCCGTCTGCACCCCTGGCATCCCGGCCAGCACTAGGTCCCGAGCTTGCGCCGCTCTGCCTGGCCCGTGCATGCCGGCTGCACTGCACGCCTGCTGCCCTGGCGCCCGGGAACCCCAGCTCACCTCCAGCCCCACAGTGCTCAGAGACCTGGGGCAGGGGCCGCAGGAGGAAAAGAAGCCCACCTAGAGTGGCTGATGGTGTCTCCAGACCTGAACAGGGAGGGTTGTGGGGGGACCCTGAGGTCAGATCTTGGGGGACAGAGCTGGGGTCGGATCTCAGACCACAGCTGGTAACTGTGATTTGGGTTTCTCTCTCTCTTTTCCCATCTCTTCCTCTCCTCCATCCCAACGTTGGTCCCCTCCCCATCCCCAGACACCCTTCCAGTCCTCGGGCCTGGACACCAGCCGAACTACCCGGCACCATGGGCTAGTGGACAGAGTGTACCGGGAGCGTGGCCGGCTCGGCTCCCCACATCGCCGGCCCCTGTCAGTGGACAAACATGGAAGGCAGATATCCTTTTTCCAGAGGAGGGGGGAGGGGACTGCTTCATCTAGCTGATAGAGCTGCCTGCTGCCAGCTCTGGGATGGAATCAGGGCTTCTCCAGTTCTCCAGGGCTACTGGGCAGCACCAAGAAGGGAGTACAATTGCACAGCAACCCCAGAAGACATCCTGGAGGATGCAATGTGAGCTGAAGGGCTAGGGGAGCACAAGGACCAATGACACAGAGATGGCCACTGGAGCACACATTCTGAGATGAGAGTTGGGAGGATGAAGCTGGACCACATTGTGCTCAGACTCCTGGCTGGGCAGTGGGGCCCAGGAAGGTTGCAAGCAGAGCATTTACATGTCAGGGCCGTGGCGGTGGACCCCTCTAGGGCCTTATGGAGGGCAGCCGAGCCAAGGCAGTGGGGCTGAGGGGGATCTGAGCCAGACCCAGACAGAACAGAGTGAGGCTTGATCTGAAGACATAGAATTTGCCTCTGTACCTCAGCCAAGCAGAGAGATTGTCAGGAATCCCCCCACTCCCCCCACCTGGCTGCCCCTTGGTGCCTGGCCAGCTAGGCTCCCCCACCACTGGAGTCGGAGTGGCTGCTCCTGGGAACCCTGGCTCTCCAGAACAGAGAAGCCTGTTCTTTCCTGGTTCTCATTTCCATGGTCTAGGGGAGCCTGACCAGCTGGGCCCCAGACCAAGCCCTGGGGCCCCGGGAGCCGCCCCGTCAGCCCAGAATTAAGAGTCAAGACCAGGGTCAGCTGAACTAGACTCCCCGCAGCACCCCCATGGGCCCCCGTTTCACGGCTGAGGCCCCTCTTGGAAGGGGTGCAGCCCGCACGTGCGCTTGCAGGGGGTGAGTGCTGAGTGCTAGGTGGACAGGGCTGCACCCTGGGGGCTGCTCGCCGCCAGGCAGGAAAGGCCCCCCGCCCCGAGGCCCCAGCTGTTTGCAGGCTTCCAGCAGCCTGGCTACTCCAATGGCCAGTGCAGGGTTCCTAGGGCTCAGGGCCGGGCCTGAGCTGACAGCACCATCCCCTTAACTCACATTCACGCGGACAGCTGCCCATACGGCACCGTGTACCTCTCGCCACCTGCGGACACCAGCTGGAGAAGGTCAGTGACTCAGAGCCAACCCAGCCCTCTCATTGGAAACAAAGCCATACTTTCCTCATGGTCATGCTTGAAAAACCAGTACTCAGTCACTTGAAAATGACAAAAGTAAGAAGAATCCAGAAGTTTCTAGAAATCAGCTCTAGCCCTCTAACAGTGAGGTCACAGTTTGGGGTCTTCTGGGGATTATTTTTTCCCCTTCTCTATTTACAAATTTTTTTTTTCTTTTTCAAACAAAGTTGGGATTGTATTGAATATTCAGTGCTGCGGCTTGCTTTTTTCCCATTAATGCTATATTATGATTGGTTTCTCACATTCCCGAACAGTCATAGAAAACGTGATTGTAAAAGGATTATATATTTTTTACTAGAAGATTAGAAAAATACATAAGTGCATCTGGAAAGTGGAAAAAAAAACCCACCCATAATACCATCATCTAGAATGTTTTTTTTTACATTTTTTATTGATTTATGATCATTTTACAATGTTGTGAGAATGTTCTTAAATAACAATAGTATAGTTAATATAAATGCCTAAAATAACACAGGTGATTGTTACACACCAGTGTAAATGTACTTAATGACAAAAGAAGTATGCACTTAAAAAGGTTAAAAAGACAGTTTTCATGTTTGTTTTACAATACATACAGACAAAAAAATACGTAGGTGATTTCAGTAAACAAAGACCAAAAGTAAGCAAGCTGTTAAAAAAATACATATATATATAATACATATTATATATATATAAACACAACACCGAATATATAATTCAGTAACCTAATTAAATACCCACCAAGGTCATACTCATGTATCAGGTGCTATTTCAACCGTCGTATACATTAACTGATGTACGATGTGCAGTGCTTGGTGGAGTTGGTGCTGTTATCCTCCTCATTTTAGGTATAAGAGCACAGAGAGGTCAGAACACTTGCTCAGGGACACACAGCTGGTATTGAGGGGAGGGCAGGATCCTCCTGGCTCCTCTCTGCCCAGCTGGCCCCAGGGTCAGAGGTGGCCCAGTCCTTTGTAACCTGTTCTTCTTGTCCTTGAACCAAGTTTCCTCCACGTCACTCTCAGTGTCTGGGACATCCCCATTGGGTGCGTGTGGCTTTTACTCTCATCCCCAAATTGGCTGTGCAGCTGGGCCCATCCTTTGCATGTCCGCCCAGCTCCCCATGGGTGCCCCTGGTTTCCTAGGCAGCTGAAGGGTTTTTCTGGGGACCCTCCCTTTAGGCACCTGCAACTGGGGGCAGATTGTGTTACTGGGGCAGAGAGTGGAGCCTCTCCCAGGCCCCTGGCAGCATTTGGACTGGTTGGAGCAAGACTCCCCTTGGCCATTTTTCACCAGGAGAGAACTCCATGATGGGCTTGTACCCCCGAGACTGGGCTACTGTGGGACTGTCAGGGCCTCTCCCTGGAGGATTTCAACTGGAAAACACCAACCTTTCCCTGAAGCTGAGAACCCCAGCAAAGGGGCGGGGATAGACAGGGGCTGGTTAGGTGGTTAGGTGGTTAGGAAGGGAAGGACATTTCTGCTGCAGCCTTTGCAGATGAAAACTGCAGTCACTCTTGTGGCTCTTTAGGGTTTTGCTCAGGTTACAGCAGCTCACAGAAATGACCTATGACTGCCACCCTGTCCCATTGGGCATGTCCCAGATAGAGTGGGGCCAAGACTATCCCTTTGTCCCCTTTGGGGCTGAGGCTCACTGTCTCTCTCCTCTCTCCAGGACCAATTCTGACTCTGCCCTGCACCAGAGCACAATGACGCCCACCCAGCCAGAGCCCTTTACGAGTGGGTCCCAGGACACGCACCAGAAAAGAGGTATCAACAGGGCACACAGGCGTCTTTCCTGGGGTCAGGCAAGTCCAGTGGGTGGCTGCTGTGCTCCCCGAAATCACAAACTCACAGGTGGATAGACTTGAGAAGGAAGACTCAGCGGGTGCTGTGGAACAAGGGAAGGGGTTCAGGAAAACTTTCAGAGATGGTGCTACTTGAGTTGGATTTTGAGGAGTGCAGAGACACAGAAAACAGACCCTGAAAATGCACATTGGCTTTCATTCATGGATTCAGGGTATGGCCACACAGTCTGGGGGACTTGCAGATTCTTTCAAATTTTGGGAGCAGCAAGCGGAAGCAAAAAGGGACTTTGATTGGCTTATGACCAACAGTCAGGGCTTGATGTTCACCTTCAGGTATAGTTTGATCCAGGGCTTCACACTGGATCATTTCCCGTTTCTGATGCTTAGGACCCTCTAGATCCACAGCCCCTGGGCCCATCCTAGCTACAGTGGGTGGAAAAGAGGCTGACTGTTTCCTAACTGTTGCCCAGAGTCTCCTTTCCAATTGGGCCATGCACACACCCCTGCAGCTAGGGCAGATTTGTGCCCAGGCCCCCAGTCCCTCCTTAGAGCTAGATGTGGAGGCAGTATCCCTGACCTTCCAGGATGGTACATGCCATCTTAAAAACTGGGGCAGTGTTACCCATAGAGGGGAGAGCAATGCTGAGGCCAGCCCTAGGAAACCCCATGTGGGCCTGCTGTGCTCCAAGGCACTGACACCAGAGAACTAATCGTGTATTCCGAAGGCCCAGACGCTTCCTACTTTTTTAGTAGCATTTCACTGTGCCAGTATAAACATAACGGAGATTTTGCTGTTAGAAGAAGGATGGTCAGCTAGAACTTCACCCCTTGCTGGCAGAGGCTCTCCTTATGTGATCTTCCCGGGATCCCAGCTCACGAGGCAGCAAAGGCGAGATCGCAGAAGGAAATGCCTCTATAATAAAAGCGAGGATTCCAAATGCCTAAGGGTGACAAGAATGGATCTGGTGCTTCTCTCCTGCTTCTGATGCTGAGGGCCATTCAGAGGGTGCTGTCTACCCTGGAGAGTCCCCTAGGAACATGGGACTTTCAGGGCAATGAGTGGGTGTCACCATCCCCAGGGACTTGCTGTGACAATGGAAGGACCTCTGGCAGCTCAGAGTCCAGTTGGCCTTGGGGTGGGGGGAAGAGAAACACATCAACTCTTTCTGTTCCTCAAGGGGCCCAGACAGTAACGAAGTTGAGGGTTAGTCTGGCTGCCCTTCCATCTCCTGGTCCTGGTTTCAAGAAGGAAGAATTAACTCATCAGGCTAACACATCATAATGGCTCTATTGCACGTGAAAAACTGAACCTCCAACCGACATAAAGAAATTGGGTCTCATAAAGAAAATGTTTCATTTTACCTTAACCGAAAGATTTAAGGGAAATGGACTTCAGGCACAGCTGGTTCTAGGGCCTTGAAAGATGCCCGACCAGTCCCTCAGACCTCTCATCTCCTTTCCTTCTCTGGGGCTGGTTGGCATTGCAACTCATGCGGCCATAACTACCACGCGTGGATCAACCTCAGCCCATGGTGAACTACAGGGCCTGGGTCCCTGTGCTTGGTGCCAACAGCGCAAGAGGAGCCCGGCCTCTGGGTACTGACAGCCCAGTGCGGGAGACGGGTGTCCACAGGGCTGCAGGTGCAGTGCACAGGGCAAGGCGACCACTCATGGGATGCTAGGAGAGATTCTTGGCTGTTCTCTGCACCCCAAGGCCTCCAAGGCCTGAGTGGGTTCTGTAAGAGGCAGAGCCAACATGTGTCCTTAGCTCCAGAGCTTTCGTTCTCATTTCTTTTTAAGTCACAGGTTCTCTCTCTCTCTTTTTTCACTTTTCTTTCTTTCTCTCTCTCTCTTTTTTTTTAACGAAACTCTTGTACTTCAGTACAATCCCCAGAAGTAGTAGTTGGGGCAGTTACAATCATATCACAGTCACGAGACTATGTCGAGGGAGTGCCCTCCTGGCGCCAGCACGCAGCTGCAAAAAGACTCATTTTCTGCTTCTCCTTCTTCCCCCACCCCACCCCACCCTAGTCTTACTGTTAACAGTCCCAGGAATGGAGGAGACCACATCGGAGACAGACAAGAACCTTTCCAAGCAAGCGTGGGACACCAAGAAGGTAAGCACCTAAGAGCTTTTGAAAGTGGTTTTCCTTCTTGATTTTTTTAAAGCACAACCCTGGGTGAAGCTGGCGAAATCACACACTGGGTGAGAGTCGCCTTCCCTGAGGTGTGAACCTCATTCAGTTTTGACCAGTTACATAGCCTATCGAAAACCATGTAAAGAATTAAAACCCACGTTTGCTTGGGCAGCACATACACTAAAATTGGAATCATACAGGGAAGATGAGCATGGCCCTCGAGGATGACACGCAAATTCACAAAGCGTTGTATATTTTTATGTGTAGTGATGGATGTTCACTAGACTTGTTGTGGTGATCCCTTTACAACATGTACGAATAGCGAAGCATTATGTTATACACCTGAAACTAATATAATGTTATATGTCAATTTTATCTCAACTGAAAAAAAAAAAGAAATTGAAGCCATGGAGGTTAAGTGATTTGCCCAAGAATGTGAAGATACTTAGGGTTTTAGAACCTATGCCTCCTAATTCTTAGCCTTAATCGCGTTACTAATGCACAGTATTGAGTAATTATCATTGTTTATCATCATCCTTAAACATAAACTCCCATTCATTTGCACAATAATCGCATAATTTATTAAGATTACAGCGTCTACTTGGAATTCCCAGTTGTATTGGGATTTCTGTATCCAGAAAGAAAGTTCTCAAGTTCAACCTACAAAACTGTCTAGTGATAAAATAGAATTTGTGCCATGAATACAGATTTCAAAGAATTTGAATAGAACAAAAATGCATTTAACACTAAAGCTATTTTGAATGTTAAAAAAAAAAGAATTGAAACCCTTTGCTGTTAAAGTTGCATGAAAGGGGCAGCACCAAAAATCACCTATTCCTTGAGGAACTTGGAGGGAGCTGGTGAATGAGCAAACAGCCCTATGTTCCTTAAAAGCATAGGTTCCGAGCTTTTGAAATCAACTGGAAACAACCTGAATTTTTGACAGTAGGGGATTTATAAGGAAATTGTCCTCAGCCCCTCATGAAAAGCTCCATGTGATTGTAATTGGGAATCTTGAAGAAATTTTAAAGGTATGAGAGACACTTGTGATAAAACTGTTATGTGGAAAGAGCAGGATAAAGCCCTTTGGACAGGCACAGACCACGCAGAGATGCCCACAGATCCCTGGGTGTACAGGACGCAGCCCAGGTAGCCCTGCGTGGGGCATGTCCTGCCAAGTAGTGGGGTGTGGGCACCACTGTTGGCCTTTTAATCCCTGTCTACATGTTCCAGTTTTGCATGCAGAATGCATATGATTTTCAAGCTCTAGGGAAAAACTTAAAAATTTTGACAATTCAAAGTCAGAAAGCAACTGAAACATCTAGTTGCAGGGGGGTGCATAAGAAAGGACAACAGGGTCCCTCTGCGTGCCCAGATGTGCTGCTGTAAAGAAAATGAAGGTGGCGAGTGTCGTGACTCTGAGAAGGGAAACAGCCCCAGCATCCTGGGAGTGAGAAGAGGGCGGCAGAGCCCAGCATCTTGGCAAGATGCCTTTTAACTGCCGCGCAAAACGATGCATCTGTGAGGGTGTCAGCAGAGTAATTCTTGGGGATTCGTTGTGGGGGTGGGGGGATGATGGGTGGATTTTTAATGCTGTTTAGAAATCCATTAGTATCCCATAATGTTCGTGGAATGCTTTTGAAAAGATTTTTCAGAAAAAGTCATTGTCAAAGTGCTTTGCAAAAAAATCTGGTAATGAAGCGAGTGTTTACTCACGGAATTAAGGAGCCTGTGGCCAAGCAGAAACCCGTTCCTCTGGCATTCCCCACAGAGGCTTACCGCCTGCTGGTCACATGCCATCCTTTGGGCTCCCCAGTCTCTGCCAGTCAGGCCTTCCCCACCCCACCCCCACCGGGTGTGTGCACGGTGAGGCAGGCCCAGCCCTCCGCTGGTGTGTGTCTTGTCTGATAATCCCTAAAGAACACATCAGCCAGGAGTGTCTGCCTGAGGGCCCGAGAGGCAGAGAGGGCTAAGGGAACGTGACACACAGCTGAGCCCTCTGTTGGCACGCGGGGTTCTGTCCGATCATGTCTGCTGCCACCGGAAGAGAGTTGCCTCCTTTGTCCTTGAACGTGAGTCTAGAGATCTTGCCTGGAGCCTGCAGTTCTTGGATGGCGATAGTGTCCCCAGTTCACAGAGGAGGAAATAGGGTTTCTCTGGGACCCCCTCCCCAGGGCTGGTAACCACTGTCTCTGTCCTCAGGCCTGTGGGCCAGGAAGCATGCCAGCACCAGGGTCCCCATGGGAGTCACAGCTCTGGGGCACCATTGTAAGGTGGGTCAGCAGAGGGCACCAGCAGTACCTTCTGTGTTATTTAAGGCATCCGCTTTGAGCCTCCTCAGAGTTCCCCACGTGATGTCCTTCCCTGTCACGGGTTGATGGACACCGAGCAGAGGCATCCCTTGCCACTGAAGCCCCCGCCTTCCCTGGCTCAGGAATGGCTTCAGGGTTAGCCTGGAGGCACCTGGGTTTTCAGCTGCTTCGCCCCCCAGCTGGCTGCTGAGAGCCGTGGTACATATGTGGGGGTTTCATATGTGAAGAGTGGGCAGACATCCTCTTCTCCCCCATGCCTGCTCTGACAAGGGACTGAGCCACCCCTGGGCTGTGCCCACCTTACCAAGCAGACAGATTGAAGCCGGGAGGAGGCTGTAGGAAGACCGTCTCCACACAGCTCTTATTTTTGCCCTGAGTGTGCCTGGGGCAGGCCTCCCCATCCCACGGGGCTACCTGTTCTTCATCTGCAGATAAACTTGTTTTTTGTTGAGCATATTTTGGCCCCTCTCGGGAGATCAGTATGTTGTGAGGAGGCACAATGCACATGAGGAGCCAGCTCAGCCTCTGCTGTCTTCTCTTTCAGGCAGGGTCCAGGCCCAAGTCCTGTGAGGTCCCCGGAATCAAGTAAGTGTCAGCAGGGCCCCACCCTGTGTGACTAAGGCCACCATGGGCTACTTGGGTGACCCCAGGGCTTCCTATCTGCTAATGAGGCTGCAGGTCCCAACAGGAGGGGACACTGTGCCTCTGGCAGCCACCCAGCAAGCCTCACCGTGGGGGATGCTCCCGCCCCTCCCTGCCCGAGATGACTGAGCCCCTGGCCTCAGCCCCAGCACACTCACCCCTCAGACACAGTCTGTCCCTGGTCAGTGGGAGGACCCTCACCCCAGCCCCCATCCCGCAGGGACAGGCTGCTTCCTAAGCTTCCGTTGGAAGTGTGGGCTGACAGTTGTTTCTCGAGCAGGGCAGCTCCTAATTGTGGGGTGTCATTTTGCACCTGCTAATTTTTTGCACCGGCCTCCTCCTGCCTCAGCCACAGCTTTTGGGGGAGAACGGGCCAGCTGCCATCCCAAGAGCTCACCTCCCCCTCTGTCTGGCCTTTCCCCCCAGCATCTTTCCATCTGCTGACCAGGAAAACACTACAGCCCTGATCCCCGCTACCCACAACACGGGGGGCTCCCTGCCTGACCTGACCAACATCCACTTCCCCTCCCCCCTCCCGACCCCGTTGGACCCGGAGGAGCCCACCTTCCCTGCGCTGAGCAGCTCCAGCAGCACCGGGAACCTTGCAGCCAACCTGACACACCTGGGCATCGGCGGTGCCGGCCAGGGTAAGGCCCGGCCGGGCGGCGGGGACACTCCTTTCCCTGGCAGAGCTCACTATCTAGTGATGATGACACATGTGTTTGAATGATGACCTAGCAGGGTCACATCCACAATGCTGGCCGTGGGGGTGGAGGGCAGAGTCCACCACGAGGGTTTGCTGTTGCCAGGCTGACCCAAGGGGAAAGGCATCTGGGCAGAGGGCACTTCCTGGGCAAAGGCCTGGCACTACGCAGGTTCATGCCCCCAGGGATTGGACCTTGGACCGTAGTTCTTAGGGGATGCTGGGTGCTTCAGAGAGTTGGGGTGGGCCAGGCCTTCCCCATGCCCCTCATCGAGGGACAGACCTGATCTGCCCTTCCCACCCCCAGCTGACTGGCTGCCTGCTTGGGACGCTCCAGCCAACCCCCTCCCTGGGAGAGGAGCGCTCCATGCTCCTTTCTCTCCAGATCACATCCTTGAGGATGTTCCACGGGCCCCTCGCCTATCCCAATATCTCTCGATGCTGCCTCACCCCTCCTTCTGAGGACTTCCAGCGGCACCGTCCCCCTGCAACTCAGGCAGAGACCCTGGGGATATCCTCCCCAATTCTTCTGTCCTCTTATCCACTCTGACCCATTGGCATGTCCTGTCGGCCCCCCATCATGACCCAGCTCGATTCAGATCCTCTCCCTGGGATGGCCTCCACCTGCTGGGCCCCCCAGCCTCTTCACCACCAGAACTGCCATCAGCTCATGGCCCTCTTGTCAGGACCTTGCTCAGCCCCTCAGCTCCCTCCTAGTGAAACCTTGAGACCCCCGGGACCTTTAATTCCTGCTCCCCATGTTGACTTTGCTCCAGCCCATGAGTTTACCTTGGGGTCTTTGGCCTCCTCCTCCTCCAGGCCCCTCGCTCCATCCCGGCTTAGATGACCTCCCCTCCCATCTTCAGGCCTTCCTGACTCCCTGCTCGAACCCCTGCCGCCTCTCACACTGGGTTGCCTTTCTGCACCCTCCCTGCTGCTGTTAAGTCGCTATTTGCTCTCATCTGTCCCCTGGGCTGGGCCCTGATCTCCCATGTCCTTGCTGTGACCTCTGTACGCATGTTGACTGTGGGATGTGTGGGTTTGTATCCATGGAGATGGGATGGCCCCACCACAGCCTGGTGGTGGGGCAGGCAGGAGGGACGGCAGGGGGCCCTTCTGTGAGTCCATGTGTGTCAGGACTCAGCGGTTAGTGAGAGCACTACCTCACCTGGAGCCATGCACGGGCCAGCGCTCACCCCATCCATGGGCCCCCTGCACCCCTGCCCCGAGCATGGTGGGTAGCGCCACACAGGATTTTGTGAAAGAGAATCAGACACTCAGGTTCGTGTTTGCCGCATTTCCTCTGGCTGCCGGGGAGAGCTGGCCATAAGGAACGGGCAGCAGCACCTGGACCAGGGCAGAGCCCCACTGAGAGTTTTGCAGAGAGATTTCAGGGTGAAATTGGCCAGCCTTGGAGCTGGGTTGATTCAGGCAGTAAAGCAAAACAGGAGCCTGGAGTCATTCCTCACTTTGGTGCCGACAAGGCTGGGGGCAGGTGAGGGTTTCCTAGGTTTTTAGATGAGGAGATAGAAGCCAGAATGGTGAAGCGGGGAGTGGGATTCTGGCCTGATTGCATTGAGGCTGTGTTTCTTCCACACACTTGGCCGTGTGCCCGCTGAGGCTCAGCCACTGGGCAGAGGACACCAGCCCTGGCCATGCCCCGCCTCCAGGGAAGCCCCAGAAGACAAAATGAGCAGATTTGGGGGAGCCCAAGACCCATGGCCCTCCAAGAGACAGATGGGTGGGCAGCGTCCACGCACGCCTGTGCAAGGCAAGAAATCAGAAGGTTGGCTCTGGGGCCGCAGGGGAGGGACTTGCCCCCCCATTGCAGACACTGCTGTTCCCTGGCCCCTGTTTTTCTCCTCACGCCTTGTAGCAGCCTCCAGAGCACCACCCCCCTCCGCCAGAGGGTCCTTGGCAGCTCCCCAGCGCCCGCCCGGGAGCCGCGCACCTCCAGCCTGCGCCGAGTCTAAACAAGCACAGGAAAACACACACATGTGAAAACCATAGATGCGGGAAAGAGTGCAGACCCCGAGCCTGGGGCCCAGACCCCAGCCTCCCTGGCTCAGAGCGTCGGCCCAGTAATGTCTGACATGTGTTTGGTTGTTTGCGAACCTGCCGCTCCAGCAGCTCACATGGCAGGGGCTTCACTTTCTGGGCGTGTTTTAAGTCAAGCTGAGCCGCTGGCCGCTGGCACACGTGGAGCTCACCCCCACCATCACCCGGCCCACCCTGCAGTCAGAACGTGAGCCTGAGGAGGAGGAAGAGGGAGGCTTCTGCCGCCAGGGAGACAGCGGCCCCTCTCGCCTCCTTCCACATTTGCTAAAGTCATTTCCCTGGCTGCTTGTGGGACCTAGGGGGTGGACAGGCTGGGGTCCTCCTTCCTGGCACAGCTCTGTGGCCTGCCACTGAGCTTTCGTGCCCCTGGGCTGGGCTCCTGCCACCAGGCCTGCCCTCCCCTGGCAGCTCTCCCTGCCCAAGCTAGGCTTCCCCTCCAGCTGGACCCACTTCTTTTCCCCAAAGTGATCCGGGTTGTCAGAAATTCAACGGCAAAGTGGCCCTCGGCCCTCCCGGCCCAACTGATGTCTTGGGGGTGGTGGCTGCCCCATGGAAGGCCAAGAGCGAGCTCTGCAGCCCAGCAGAAGATTAAAAACTCCCTTGTATTCAGGGCAGACATTAGAGGCTCGCAGCCTAAGGGCCAGATCCAGCCCACCAGTGTATTTTGGCTGGCCTACGACTGTGTGTGATGCTTTGAATCAACATTCAAACATACATGTAAAGACCTGGATTTCTAGCTTCTCTGGAAGAATCAGGCCTAGCGATGGAGGGTCGAGGTCCTGCACCTCAATTTGGGCTGGAGCACTCCAATTTGCCACAGACTCCTCCCATCCCTGCCACCCCTCTTATCTCCCTCACTCCTGGTGTTTGCTTCTCCGCTGCTTACCGAGCCCTGACATCTCCTCCCAACGTGGGTGTGGAGTGTTCCTCTGCCCACCGGACACATGAGGCATTTGGATGCTCAGAGAAGACAAGGAGCAACCCAGGGTCCCACCTCCCAGTGCACTCTCAACAGGCGTCTCCCAGACTCCTCCTGCCTAGGCCTCCACCAGTGGCTCCTGTGACGTTGCTATGTCTGCAGCAGCCTGATTGTGGGCCCAAAGTCTGTGTAGAAACTGGCCCCCAGGGCTGTACTGCGGGAGCAGTCCACAGTGCCAGGCGCCCCCGCAGTTGGCCAAGTGAAGCTGCCAGGGCGTCCTAGGGGAAGTGCAGGCATGACCGGGCTCGCCTGGCACAGATGACATAGCCCCAGTGAACAGCTGCCCTGGTGGAGGGCAGGCTGCCCGTCATCTCCCTTCAGCGCGTGCTGAGAGCGCGCTCGCCAGCCCTTGAACCTGCTGCCTCACCTGCTGAAACAGGGTTGATCTCGCAGGATGGGCCCAGCTTCCCCAGTGAGTCAGGAGCCTTCACCTGGCTTTGACTGTGGGCCATAGCTGCTCATGACCTCCTTAGGGCCTCACAGTGAACCCACAAGGACAAGGAGACAGAGTCTGGGGGATCAGGCGAGACCTCCCCTGCCAGGGGTCTCCATCCTTCCCCCAGCATCAAGGGGCCTGTTGCTTCCCTGGCACTGCCCCAGGATCACCTGGCAGGCCCTAACTGCTGCCACACTGAACTTGACCTCACTCAGCCCCTTCACAGCAGATACATCCAGGGATCAGATTGCTGAGGGATGGGGCCAGGGTGAGGGAAAGGGTGACTTGGAGCCCCCCAGCTGGAGCTCTATCAGGAAGAAGATGAAGGAATTGGATTTCAACTTGGGCATCCTGGTGGGAGTGGTGCTCCAGCCTGGGGAGTGCATGAGGTGGGGGGGAGAAGGTTGTGGGTGTGAGGGAGGGACCACCAGATACATAGATCTGGGGCCAAGAGGAGCCAAAGGAGCAGTTATGGGAAGGGGCAAGTTCATGAAAGGAGGGTGAGCAGAATGATGAGACTCAAGAAGAAACTGCAACATCAGGCAGGACTGACTTGCTTGGAGCTCTCCAAAACCCAAACCAGTTCAGGCAAAAAAGGGGACCAGTTGTCTCCCGAAATCAAGAAGCACCAATATGGCTGGGTCTGGGGCTCAGGTGCTAACTCTGCTCCTCAGCTCCCTGTTTGTCATCTGGCCCTCCCTGTTGTGGTTACCATATGCCCCCTCACACAATTGTGGACTTCCCTTCCTGGAGTCCCAGCAAAAGCCCCTGAACAGGGTCTCATTGGCCAGCCTGGTCACATGTCCATCTGGGGGCCAATCATGCTGTGGCCCAGAGGTGGGGAAGCGCTGATCAGTGGGGCCTGCAGAACCTGTCCCTCCTGGAGGGTTGGTGGGATCAGTGGGGAGAGCGTTGGTCAGCATTGGAGATGGGAAGGAGAATGGAGCCCGTGCAGAGCTGGGGGACCCAGAGGTCAGGGTATCGGGGCCTTGGACCTGGGGCGGGAGTGGAGTCGTGGATTTGGCGATCAGGATGTGCCCTCTGGTTTCCGTCTGTGTGATTGGGCTGTCCCCAGCAATGATCCTGGGTGTGTGAGTGCCACCCCCTGCATGCTCGCATCACGCCCACCTTCCCTCCCTCCCTTTCAGGGATGAGCACGCCTGGCTCCTCACCGCAGCACCGCCCAGCTGGCGTCAGCCCACTGTCCCTGAACACGGAGGCAAGGCGGCAGCAGGCCCAGCAGGTGTCGCCCACTCTCTCCCCGCTGTCACCCATCACTCAGGTGCGAGGGCTTAGTGGGGCAGGGGAGGTGGGGCCCAGCTCTGCCTCTCTGGGAGGCCTCTCGCTCCTCCAGGGAGCAGAATCCTGAAGACTTTCCCAACATGTTTGCTTTTTGTTGTCAGATTTTTCAAACACATGGGAAATGCAGAAATCAGTGGCCTGAGGTCCCCTTTGCCAATCATGGCTGTTAGTGTGTGCCTGCATGATTGACCTTCTTCATTATGCTAGTCTCTCTTTTAGGATCTAGTTTTGTTTTTTTTTTCCTTTAGGATCTAGTTGAAATTTCCCAAAATAAAATGTGTTAAGAGGTTTGGTTTTTTTTCAATTTACAGTCTTTGCTTTGTCTACTTCTCTGGGAGTTTGATTATGCCTAGCAATTGGTGCATTTCCTGAGGGTTACCCAACATGCTGGCATATAGCTGTTCATAGTCCTTTTATTTCTGTAAAGTGGTCAGTAATGTTCCCTCTTTCATTTCTGATTTCAGTAATTGGAATCTTCTCTTTCGCTTAGTCAGCGTAGGCTCATAGGACAAGTTAGAAAGTGTTCCCTCCTCTTCTGTTTTTTTTTTTTAAGGGTCTGTGAAGCATTGGTTAATTCTTTCTTAAATGTTTGGTAGAATTCACCACTGAAGGCACTACGGTCTCAGCATGTCTTCACTGGAAATTGTGTGATGACTGATCTAATCTCACTTTTATCAGTCTACTCAGATTTTCTTTTTCTTCTTTGGACTGTTTTGGTAGTTTGTGTGTTCTGAGGAATTTGTGCATTTTGTCTGCTTTTCAGACCCTAATAGATAACGTTTGTTTCTTTACATAACCTCGATGACCTTATCCACTTACAACTAAATGAACAGTAATTCTTCTATACCTTCCTATACCCACCTGGGCCCAGTTCCCCAGTATGTCACTGTCTGCTTGTATAGTTCTTGTTCAGACCAGGATCCAGGCAGTGCCCTGGGTGGCTTCTGGTGGCTGTGTCCTCAGTCTCTCCATCTGTGGCCCCTGGCTCTTCTCTGCTCCCACCATGCCCCACCCCTGAGTCCTGCCTTCCCTTTCCGGAAACACTCTTTGGGGCATAAACTGCTCCCCGCTGATCAGAAGCTGGCATTCGGATAAGTGTTTCATGCTGTAGCTCCTGGGCACGTCCAGCCTCCCTCAGAGGGCAGGAGCCCTTGCCTGCCCCTGGAACTGTCTGCACAGACTCGTGAATGTTGAAAACTTCTCTCCAGCTATTTTCTTTCCAACTCTAAGGAAGTCCGAGCTGGTCATTGCTCAGTGACTACATCAGTGTCTCCTCACCCAACTCGTCTCCAGCCTCCCCTTGATGGGCCAGGCTGAGGAGGGTGGGAGGGGGTTCCTTCCCGCTGCAGGACCCCACAGGGGCTGGGTGCTGGCTCCCCACTAGGCTTCCAGAGTGTGGTGCCCCGTGCCTGCCCACAGTGGGGAAACTCCAGCTCAGGAAGGCCGGGGGCATCCTGAGTCTCTGAGTGCAGACGGTGGTGCTGCTGCTCAGTGTGCGGTGAGAGAGGCTTGCTGAGGACAGGTCCTCCGTGGGTCCTGGGGGAGGCCTCCCTGCTAAGCCTTCACTTCGCCGATCCAGGATCTGGACATCCCTTTGTTTGCCCATCACCTTGTTGCCAAGCACGCCAGGCCGATGGGGGTCCTCTGGGGACCAGGTGCTCCCAGCCCCACCCCATCTCTGAGCGTGTCTCCTGTCTGATGCCCTCCTCTCCCTTCAGGCCGTGGCCATGGATGCCCTGTCTCTGGAGCAGCAGCTGCCCTACGCCTTCTTCACCCAGGCAGGCTCTCAGCAGCCGCCACCACCACAACCTCAGCCCCCACCCCCGCCGCCGCCTGCGTCCCAGCAGCAGCCGCCCCCGCCGCCCCCGCAGGTGCCTGTTGGCCTCCCCCCAGGCGGCTCCCTGATGCCGAGCACCAGCCTGACTCGGGGGCCCCAACTGCCCCCACTTGCAGTCACGGTACCGTCCTCTCTCCCCCAGTCCCCCCCAGAGAATGCAGGCCAGCCACCGATGGGGATCGACATTGCCTCGGTAAGCCGGCGATGGAGTCCTGTGGGGCCTGGGTGGGAGGCTTGTGTGGGAGGAACCCCGGGGGCTATGAGAGGCCCCCATTGGAGCTGACAGGAGGACCGTCAGGGCACCTGGCTTTATCTGCAGCCACCTTGAGGCTCCGCTTTTGAGGCCACCTTGGCCTGAGGCATGGGGTTCCACAGGGGATTCTTCCTGGAATCCTCAAGCCAAGGTCGTCACCCCAGTATACATGGGGAACCTGAGGCACGAACAAGGGTAAAGTGCCCCAAACTTCACCAGGATGGCCCACTGCATGTCTTATGCCAAGCCCTCCCCCGTGGGCCCAAATGCCCCCTCAGCCCTTCCCGCCCAAGAAAAGGCTACCTCAGAGGCAGGGAGAGCACAGAGCTCTCAGGGCCTGGGAAATGGGTTTCTGGGAGCCAGAGGGATAGAGATAAACTTGGAGGAGAAGAAGGGATGAAGCCAGCTCTGCTTCATACAGCACAGGGCCTTGGGCTGGGGACCTGCAGTTCAGACCATGGGACCCCTTGCCTGTGGCCAGGCTCAGGGTAACAAGTGCTAAGTTTTGACCCCTGCACCCAAACCTTCCTGACTGTTCAGACTTTCACCCTGATTTCCCTGGTAGGAGGGAGGTGGTCACAGTTAGATCCAGAGGAACAGGGACCCACGTTTGGGGCCCAACCAGCCCTCCCCTGGCTGCCAGCCCCAGGATAAATGTCATCAGAACATGTGTTCTGCAAAGAACAGGCCCCCCGCCTGAGCTGGGCAGGGCAGGCAGGTAACCCAACAGGTAGAGACCCACATTTCCAAGCTGCTCTGACCCCTTGGAGGGCAGACCTCAAGGGTCCCCTTAAATGAGGATGTGGGTGGTTCCTCACTGTGGAGCTGGGGAGATGTTGGAATTATGGGGTGTCCAGGCTCTCAGGTCAAGGCATGTGTCGTCTGTTACTCCCACTTTGCCCCAAGAGAGTGCTGGCTCTCTCAGGACTCTGGCTCCAGTGGCTTCTGTGTTTCTGCAGACCCACCCAGGCGAGGAGAATGTTCCTTGGTCGTTTTCCTCTTTCCAACCCCGAGGAGGCCTGAGCTGGTCGTCGCTGAGTCACCACAGTGTTGTCTCTGATACCCATACTTTCCTGTGCAGACCCCCTGCCCAACCTGGGCTCAACTTCCATCCCAAACTACTCAGGACAGGCTGCTGAGGAATTGAAGGAGACAGAGATGTAGCACTTAGGGGGCCCTGGGTTGGCTGGCTGGGCCTCACTGAACAGCAGGCTCAGAGAGGTTAGATAGCTTGCCCAGAGGTATACAGCAGGGCCTCACTGAGTGGGACCAGAACAGGGTCTAAATCCAGGTCCTGGCCTGGCCCGTCCTGCCCCCAAGGGATCTGGTGAGAAGCCAAGGCCCTTTGTCCTCCAAGTGAGGGGGTGGCCGCCCTTTAGAAGTCTGTGGACAGTATAACCCCAGCAGGCTCATTCCAAGCAACATCAGTGACAGCGACTGCCTGGCGCCGGGAGCCCTGCAGCGTGCCCCAGACAGCCCTCACTGTCAGTCCTGCCACCCCTCAAGGCCATCTGACTGGCCCTGGGCCTTCCCTGCCCATGTGTGTGGGCGTGCGTGTTCACGTGTGTGCAGCCATGTGCACGGGTACGTGGGTGTGGGTGCGCCTTCATGGGGGTGCTCTGAAACCTGCTGAGTAGAGGCCAGCTCCCTCCCCCACGCCCCTCCCACAGCCCCCTGGGGCGATTCTGTGACCACACGCCCCCACCCCTCCCAGAGCTGGGTTTGGAGGCAGGTCCCCTCGAGTTGCTGGGCTCAGGAACCTGCACCTCCTGTGGGTGCCCTGGGTACTCTGCTTACCTGAGGGGTGGGGGCTCTGCCAGGGGGCCCGGCAGGGAACAGCCAGGCGCGGGGCCCCTTAAGTGTCCTGACCTGTCTGTCGTCACAGGCGCCGGCTCTGCAGCAGTACCGCACTAGCGCCGGCTCCCCAGCCAACCAGTCTCCCACCTCGCCCGTCTCCAATCAAGGCTTCTCCCCCGGGAGCTCCCCGCAAGTAAGGGACGCCGCATCCCCTCCCCCGCCTCCTTGGCTCCAGCCTAGCTCATGCCCCCGGCCCACCCATCCACTATCTGTGCTCCTGTCTCACTCCATCCCATCTTGTTGCACTCCACCGGGGTGGGGACCAGAGAGGGGTGGCCACCTTGGGCAGTGGCCAAGGAGAAAGCGCTTTCCCTGGGAGCGCCCCCGTTCCCTCCGTGCCTCTGTGGTCTGTGCAAAGCCCAGGCTGGGGGTGGTGGGCTCTCCACTCACGTTAGTGACGTTGGTGTGGCCTCTGCCCCAGCTCCTCACCCCAAGGCTGGGACGTCCTGGTGTGAGGCTCAGAGCTGGCATCAAACGGCCTGTGCACCCTGAGGCCTCGTGCTTCCAGGCTTCTGGAGGTGGAGGGGTGCCCCCCTGCTTGGGGGTGCAGCTGAGGTGACAGCCAGGTTATAGTGGGGACTCCGACTCCTCAGCCCTCTCCACCCCTTAAGAGGATGTGTCTCACGGTCTCCAGGCTGAGGAAGCTTCTCTGAGGGCACAGCAGCCTCTCGGTCCTGGTCTTCTCACAGATGAGGAGACTGAGGCTTGCTCCAGGTGACAGGCAGGGCTAGACCACATCTGTCAGACTCACGTTTTCCCTCTGTACCAGGCACCACAGGACTCTGATCTCCGACACAAACACACACACACCCAGTCCAGGTTCCTCAAAATTCCCCTTGGCTCCACTCCACCCATGGCTGCATTCTACCTGGAACCTTCCATCAGAGGAGAAAGAGTTCCCACAAAGCTGACATGTGGGCCTAAATCTCACTGTAGCAGTGGAGCCTCCCCAGGACCCTACCTCCCTGTCCCCAGAGTGTCACTAAGCTGAGAAACCTCTTGGAGCCACTACAGTGCCCCAGGCCCTGAAGCTTTATTCTCAGCTGAGGGGATGTTGTTACTTCCTGGGTAGAGCAGGAAGAGGAGCTGTTCCTCCAGGCAGGACCTGGGGATCCTTGTCCCGGGACATGCCCCGCTGTCCCCATCTCCCAGGCTCTCAGAGGTACACTCCAAGCCAGGCCCTGTGGGTCAGGACAGTGGGCATCAAGGAGGACCCAAGGCTCTTCTCATGACTCTCTGATACAGGAGGGGCTCTCCCAGGGCCCTCCCTCATCTCCCACCCTCGGCAGCCAGGGGTCCTGCTGGGATTAGGTGTGCAGCCTCCCGCTCTGTAGAAGGCTGGGAAAGTGCAGTTGCTCAGGGCAGGCCAGGGGTCAGCTTGGTGTCTGCACGCTCTCAGTCTGTCCTTGTCGGCTCTGAGCCCTGGCGTCTGGTCTCCTCATGAGGTGCAGGGGGATGCGGCGGAGGGGTGTGTGTGGCAGGGGATGCTTAAGGGTGGGAGAAGCCCATCCAGGCAGGGGAAGCAGCAGGTGGGTTCTGCCCCCCGGTGGGCTGCCCTGTCGGGGGCTGGCTCCTGAGTTACATCCGTTCTTCTGTGTGAGGCAGGACAGGAATTTAAGGGCAGAGCAAGTTTCTCTCAGGAGAGGTTCATCTGAACCAAAGCGGTTCATGCTGGGCAAAGAGCATGCTGCTATCTCATCAAGCTCATGTCTGTGTGTTGGTCCATCTGTCTGTCCATCCATCGTGCTCCTGCAAGGGAGATAGGCCACTCACTCAAATGTGAGGGGAGGGGAAGGGTATAGCTCAGTGGTAGAGCGCATGCTTAGGACGCACAAGATCCTGGGTTCAATCCCCAGTACCTCCATTAAAAAATAGTAAGTAAATGAACAAATAAATCTAATTACCTCCCTTTCCAAAAATGAAAAATGTGAGGATGGAGCCAGGCCGTCTGACCCCAATCAGGGGTGCTGGGGTTGGGTTGTGTGGGCTGCCTTCCCTCTTCCTTTCTGAGCAGACCTTTCTGGCAAACCCTTTTGGCAGCTTCACAAGAGGAGGCATAGCTTGGTGTCTCCTGTGTGGGCCATGCCTCAGGGGACAGGATCAGGTGCCCCAGAACGACCTGCCCCCAGCCTCAGCCAAGGCCCTCATCTGCCGCCTCCTTCATGGGTAAACCCAACACCTCACAGCCCCTCTTTCCAAACCTGAAGCTGGCGATTTTTATGGCAAATGTGGCATTTTTGCCACATTGTCTTTTCCACCCCTTTACTCCTTTCACATTTTTAACTCATTCCTGTGTTTGAATGGAACGTCCAACCCCAGGAGCCACCCCACCTGCCAGGGTGGCTGTCTGTCCACTGATCATCCAGAGTGGTAGGTGGGTTTGTGTCCAGCCCCTCTCTGGTATGTAGGCCTGAGACTCAAGCTTTGGGAGTTGTCAGGGAATGGGAGCACCTTTCTAGAACAGGGAGCTCAAAGGGAGGAGGTCCAGGGCTGGTGGTCTGGATGCAGGCCGAGCACATGCATCATGCAGAAGAGGAAAAAGGCCAGAGCACCCAGCCTCGGGGATGCCATGGTCCTCCCTCTCCTTTCTTCCACAACCCACCAGACCCTGTCCTGCCATCTCCCTGGCAGCATCTCAGGGATGGACAGGGGCTCAGCGCTCCTCTTTCTGGCATCTCTGCTGCCTCTGATGATCCCCAGCCCCCTGCTCCTTTCCCAGGGGAGCCCCCATCCCTCTGCTGCATCTGATGTTGCACAAGCAGGACTGGCCCTGGGGCCTCACAGGCAGACAGGCAGACAGGCAGCCACGAGTGGACAGGTGGGCAGGGGCTTCCTTGTGCCTGTCCCGTGCTCACTCTGTGCACCCTTCCTGCCCACGTGTGTGTGGCCTCCCTCTCGTGTCCCCCACATCTGACAAGGGTCACCACGTGCACATCCCATTCTGAACATCCAGAGTACCTCCCACCTTGCCCCAGGAACTTTCCTCCAGGGCCTGCCAGGTGGGGTTCCCCATCATGTGTCCCCCCATCTCCCATCTGACAAAAATGGGCTCACCCCAACCTGGGCCTCAAGGAGAGGAGATGGGATGGCACTTTTGGGGAAGTTGGGGTACAGAGGCCCCCCGAGAGCAGTCATCCCAAGATTAAGGGTGCATCTGTCCGTCCCAGCGGGTGTGAGCTCTACCAGGAGCCCTGAGATAGACGTTGTCAGCCTCCTGCATCCTGAGTATTCTCCAGGAAGTTCCAGAGGCCTCCCTCGTCTCCCAGCCCAGGCCAGCTGGTGAGGTCTCGGGAGAGGGGTGTGGGTGCAGCCAGCCCATGGGGGCATCCCCCACCCTTTACCCCACAGTAGCCTCACCCCCTGCCTGATTTGGGGATCCTGACGACAGCGGGCCTCTCTTCTGTCTGCAGCACTCCTCCACCCTGGGCGGCGTGTTTGGGGACTCATACTTTGAGCAGCAGATGGCGGCCAGGCAGGCCAATGCTCTGTCCCACCAGGTGAGCGGGCGCCCACCGCAGACGCTCGCCAGACCCCACCCACTCCTCGGGTGTGAACTTCTCAGCCCTCTCCTGTCTCCATGCTGCAGAGGCCCAGGCCCTGGAGTGGGTGGCTTGGCTTTGCCTCCCCTGGCGTCTGCACCCTGCCCGCAGAACGAGGCTGCCCTCAGAGGGGGCGGAAGGGCGAGTGGTGAACGCTGGCAGGGATGCGTGGTGGCTCTTACATCGGTGCCTTGATGGGGGCCCTGCACGTGGGTTTGCCGGGAGGTTGCACTGGCTTTGTGTGGAGGCTGGGGTTGGGGGCGTGTGGGCATGGGAGGGGTTGGCTGCTGCCTGGAGCTGGTAACTCACTTGCTCATCCATCCATCCATCCATCCATCCATCCATCCAGCAAGCCCTGAAGGGGCTGTGTGCTGGCAGACTCGAGCAGGTTCAGAGACGGGGAGACCCCAAGGTGGAGAGACTCATGCTTGGCAGCCCCAGGTGTACCTTAGCATGGATACTAGGTGTCTTACAGGGGAGGGGGTGCCAGTGGCTGCAGGCCAGCCTGCTGGCCAGCAGCAGCCAGGGCCCCAGGATGGCCAGCTCCATGGGGCTGGCCTCATGCCTGTGTGCTTCCTCTCCCAGCTGGAGCAGTTCAACATGATGGAGAACGCTATCAGCTCCAGCAGCCTGTACAGCCCGGGCTCAACGCTCAACTACTCACAGGCCGCCATGATGGGCCTCACAGGCAGCCACGGGAGCCTGCCTGACTCACAGCAGCTCGGCTACCCCAGCCACAGCAGCATCCCCAACATCATCCTCACAGGTGAGGCCACCCATGCCGGTGTCTTGGGTGAGGGTTTTGGTCCCATGGTCCAAGGCTGGGACCAGGCTGCTGTGAGAGGCCACAGCCCTGGGGGAAATGGAGTCCCCACCCCGCAGGGTGAGGTGTGACAGGGCTGAGGCATTGGTGCAGACCCAGGGAGACCAGAACACCTCTTGACAACAACCTTGACTCACTGCTGGGCATATGGGACAGGCTTGGGGGGAACACACATTGGGTCCTGGACCAAATGTCCAGTATCCCAGGCTCAGAGTGAGCACAGGATAGAGCCAGTCGCTCACCTATCCCCTCTTCCATTGCTCAGACCCCTAAACCCCATTAGTTGAGTGTGCTGGGGACTCAAGTGACAATGGGGTGGGCACTGCCTAGTGGGGCTTTTCCTGTGCAGCCAGCAGACGTGTAACAGCTCCCACATGCTGTGTCAGGCATCCCCGAATGGCCTGAGCACAGTGCCCAGGCACCCAGACATGCACATGCACGTGTGAGGAAGTCTTCACTCTGGCCAGCAGAGCTCAGACCCTTCAGTCCCCCTTCCCCCACCCTTCATCATGCCCCTGAAGGTTCTGGGTTTTATCAAAGAAGGAAGCAGTTTCCTTATTTATAAGCCAGGGCTGTCATGGGATTGAGGGTGAGACCCTCCCAGAAGTCCCCACTGACATCTCTAGGATGGAGGGGTCCTTGTCCAGAGTCCCTGCATGGCCTGGACTCCCAGTGCAGACCTGGTGTTTTCTCCCTGCCCCAGGGGTCTGCAGTTAATGCTCTGGGAGTGGAGGCCTTAGTGGTGGAGGTTGTGTGATAAGGATCAGGACCTATGATTGTCCAACAGCCCAGAAAGACCAGAACTTTCACATCCATTTCCCAGATTGGGAAACTGAGGCCCAGAGTCCCACCACAAGTAGAGGAGGGAGCCCAGGTTTGAACCTGAGTCTCCATCGGGAAACCCAGGCTTCCCTCCAACCCACAGGAAGGCTCCTGATGCACACAGAGCAGACCACCTGGTAGAACCTGGCCAAGTGGGAGAGACCCCTGCTCCCACCAGGTCACACTGAAGTTTGTGTTGCAGCCGTTATCCCAGGGCTTCCTGGTCTTGGCGCCCTGACATCTGGGTTGGGGTAATCCCATGTACTGTGGGGTATTGAACAGCATCCCTGGCCTCCACCTACCCGATGCCAGTAGCATTCTCTCCAGTTGTGACAGCAGCTGTCCCTGGACATTGCAAATGTCCCCTGGGGGACAGACCACTCAGGTGAGCACCCCTGATGTGGCCTGAGCATTGACGGGGGCTGTTGAGGCACAGAGTGTGGGTGCGGAGAGCCAGGGCTGAGCTGAGCCTTTTGTCTGTACCCCTGCCCACCCCCCCCCCAGTGACAGGAGAGTCCCCTCCCAGCCTCTCTAAAGAACTGACCAGCACGCTTGCCGGGGTCGGTGATGTCAGCTTCGACTCTGACAACCAGTTCCCCCTGGATGAACTCAAGATTGACCCCCTGACCTTGGACGGACTGCACATGCTCAATGACCCAGACATGGTCCTGGCCGACCCGGCCACTGAGGATACCTTCCGGATGGATCGTCTGTGAGCGGCACGCCCGGCACACTGCCACACCGCCGCCCAGCCCCTGGTTCCGTCACCCCACCGGTCAGTGGTCCCGACGG